AAATCGTCGCTCGTCTTCGAACAGCTCACAAGCCTGGTTGGGAGAAGATATAGTAAGACGAGACAGAATACTTGGAAAAATCAAAAAAAAAAAAAAAAACAATACCATACATGAGAATCAAAGGGATAGATATGACACTAATAAGAGTTAAAGTACATGATAGATCATCCCGGCTCTCACAGGATGTTCAAAACACTGGTCGAGACTAAAAAAAACAATAAATAACACAAACAAAAGCAAACAAACCACAGACCCAACAACCATTACAACCCAACAAACCATTACTTTTTTTTAAGAGTCGGCGGTCGACTTCTCAGCAGCATTTTCATCCCCGTCGTCAGTCGGTTCAGTCCCCGTAGCTCCCTCCTCGCCGATCGACTCAGTCCCGCAGATTCCACTTGGGAGGTACAACTTCGTAGTTGTTTAAATCGACTTCGTAGTCGTAGGAATTAGTCGGCTACATAGCCATTCTGATAAATTTGGTTTTTTCAGGTAATCATAATAAGGTCGACGTGTAAACATAAAGAGACATGATTGAAGCATAAACTTGAAATTCATTTCATTACTGAATTTGATTTGAACATTGCTCAGTACAAAAAAGGAGTTCAAAACATTGCCTTAAGCGTAAAAGCGTTTCAGGTGGATCACGTGCCAGAACCGCGGCAGCTGTCGACCTTCTCTATCCTCGAGTTCGTATGCGCCTCTCTCAAGCACCCTTGAGACCGTGTAGGGTCCTTCCCAATTAGCTTCGAGCTTTCTAACATGTTTGAGAGCGTCTGCTCGTCTGAAGATGAGATCCGCTACTTGGAAACGTCTGGTTCGGACCTTCTTATTAAAGGTTGCGCGCATTTTCTGTTTGTATTCAACGGATCATACCCATGCTTCTTCTTGTCCCTCCAGGTCAAGGGCTTCCTCGACCATCTTCTCGTTTTTCTTTTTTCTCATGGAATGTCGTCCTGTGTGAGTTCAATACCACTTCGATGGGCAGGAGTGCATCCATTCAGTAAACCATGTGAAATGGAGATTGACCTGTCGAACTTCTCGGAGTCGTCCTATGTTGTCAGTTCATCAACCCAAGCTCTCGACGTCTTCTCCAATCTCTTCTTCAATCCTTAGAGGATGGTTCTGTTTGTTACCTCAACTTGGCCATTTACCTGAGGATGTGCAACTGAGGCAAATCGCTGCTTAATCCCTATGTTAAGGCACCATGCTTGGATCCGTTTTGATTGGAACTGAGTTTCGTTATCTGAGATGAGTACTTTTGAAATTCCAAATCGACAGCAGATGTTATTGAACATGAACTGTATCATTTTTTCTTCAGTAATTCGAGCCAAGGGTTCTGCTTCGACCCACTTGCTGAAATAGTCGACTGCGACCACTAAGAATTTTCTTTGTCCTGTTCCCATCGGCAACGGGCCCACCAAGTCGATTTCGCATTGGGCAAAGGGGATTGAAGAGTTGATTGTCGTCATGTATTCGGCTGGAATGTGAGTGATTTGTCCATGGCATTGGCATCTTTCACATTTCTGGGCCAACTGTTCCGTCGTTGCTCGGATCTTAGGCCAATAGTAGCCTGCTCGCAAGGCTTTTCCAGTTAGAGCTCGAGATCTCACGTGTGCTCCGCAACATCCTTCATGGATCTCTTTTAGGACATGAACTCCTTCTTCTTCGGAAACACATCGCAGATGGGGCCCGACCAAGGACTTCTTATACAAGATCCCATCGACCTCAAAGTATTTGCTTAGGTATCGAGCAACTTTTTCCTTCTCCTGTTTATCCCCTGCAGGCACTCGACCCTGCAAGAGTTCAAGAATCGACGTCCTCCAATCGTCCTTATTGTCGACTTCCATTGCCTCGCCCAAAACACTTCCCTCTAGGTGCATGGTCGTGATGTGATTCCTGCCTTTCCCTCATACGAACTTGTGATTCTTGCTAGCCAGTCGGCTCGCTTGTTTTCTTCTCGCGGTATTTGCATAAGTTCGAATTTTTCCAACCCCTGCACTATGCTTTGGATTTCCTCAACATACTTCATCATCCGTTCTTCTTTGACTTCACAATTTCCCATCACCTGCCCGACTACAAGTTGTGAGTCGGAGTGCGCTATTATCTCACCCTCGGGGGATATGAGGACGACTCCCAGACTTGATCCTTTGGCCGCAGAGGACCCATCAACATGCATTATCCATTTCTTCTCTTCTCCCTTAGTACATTCCTGGATGAAATCGGCCAGTGCCTGGGCTTTGATTGCCCGTCTGGGCTCGTATTTGATGGTGTATTCACTTAATTCGACAGCCCATTTAACAAGTCGACCTGACACCGTAGGTCTGTTGGGATCTATGAGGATCTCGTTATGCACAAATCACGAATTCAATAGCAAAACGTAAACCTATGCGCACCGGATCTAAAGGTTTGCATAGAGAACTTACGGCTTAAAATTTATGGCGATCTGGCTGATCTTCTGGATGGTCGTACACAACAAACCAATGAAAAGTAGACTGCAAATCGCGTCCTAGGGTTGCACGAACAAGATCGGATCAAAAACCAGATCAGACGGGTGTAAAAACGGAAAAAGACAAGTTGTAGTCCTGGGAGCTTCCGGCGGCGCGTGAGGGCGCTTCCGGCGTGGGATGGCGGCGACTCGGCGGAGTTAGAAAGCTCTCGTCGAGATGGTCGTCTGGGTATGTTGTACGTCTTGATCAGACCTCCGGTTAGTTATGTATGACAAAATATATTTCGTCTCGGTTTACCGAAAGTTCTTCTACTGTATATATCAAACACCTCTTAATCTTGTACTGGTGGAACAAGAAGAAGAAGATAAAGCTCGAATGTGAACTAAGAGAGAGATATGGAGCGGCGTGAATTACGATGTAATTGTGATTCATGTGTTCTCTTCCTATGAGCTTAATGATGTATATATAGAGCTACAATATGGACCCTTAGGAGATTAGGAGAAGGGCTCCTTAATTGATTAAAATACTTATGAACCAAGCCACTTATTTTAATTAATTAAATAATAAATGGGCCACCAACATAATATTATTGCACTCTCTTTTCCTAGCCCAATTTACAATTGAGACTCCAATAATAATTACTCGATTTATCTCCCCATGTTTAAGATATCCTCCCTGTATATAATTCCAGAATGCGCTGAGCCTACGTGGCTGCTTCTGGTGCTTCGGAATCCTATTTGGCGAAGAATCATGCTTCGTAATTAGGTTTGAATAAATAATATTGATATA